GTGTGAGATAAGTAAATAAGTCTACCAACAAGCCTTTGATACATTTCTTTGTCCACGACAATATCCTCCTCTGCACTTCCCAACTTTATATTTGGGTCAACTGGGGTGCTTGCTGGTCTGCAGGCTGTCTTACCTGTTTCTTTAAGCAAGTCAGTAATATACTTTTGTTAAGATATGAAGATTCCTTTCTTGGAATGGGCCACTTCAATTCCCAAAAAATATTTAAGTCTCCCTAATGTCTTGATCTCGAATTCAGTGGCAAGGCATTCACTTAACACTTGCTGCTCCTTTTTGTCATCCCCACTTACTATAATATCATCTATATACACCAATAAAATTGTTACCCCCCCTGAAACTAAATGTTTGATAAATAATGTGTGATCCCCTTGCCTCTGTTTGTAGCTCAGACCTGTCATAACTTTGGTGAATCTTCCAAACCACGCTCTTGGGGATTGTTTCAGCCCATATAAAGCCTTTCTTAACTTACAAACAGTTCCAGCAGCAACCTGTCCATTGTAACCAGGTGGCAACTCCATGTATATTTCTCCTTCAAGGTCTCCATGTAACAAAGCATTCTTCACATCAAATTGCTGCAGGTCCCAATCATGATTTGCTGCTAATGACAATATTACTCTGACCGTGTTCATCTTAGCAACCGGGGAAAAGGTCTCCAAGTAATCAATTCCATAGGTTTGAGTGAAGCCTTTGGCCACTAATCTTGCCTTATAACGTTCAATGGTCCCATCAGCCCTGTACTTTACTGTATATACCCACTTGCATTCTACTGGTTTTTTTTCAATTGGTAGGGTGACAAGTTCAAGTCCTATTCTTGCTTAACGCCTCCATTTCCACATCCATGGCTTGTTTCCATTTCCTGTCAGATAATGCTTCAAATACAGAGGAAGGTGTGTGTGTGGAGTTGATGTTTGTGAGGAAGGTTTTATGGGTAGGTGAGAATTTTTCAAAGGATAAGAAATTTGACAGTGGGTAAAGTGGTTGTTGGGTGCATGTTCTAGTTCCCTTTCTAAGAGCAATGGGTAGGTCTAAATTTTGGTCCACCCGTGCTTCTAAATTTTCAGAAACAAACTCATTAGAGTTTATAGGATTCGAAAGTGTTACCTCATGCAGTGATGATGGGCTGGACTCTTGGACATTGCCAGACTCTAGAATGGCCTTTTCTCTCCTTGAATATACCAGATTTTTCCCAAATCTTCCACCATTAAGTGCCGGTTCAGGTGCAGGTCTTGCTGTTGGTACAGGTTCAGGTGTAGGTGTAGGTCCTACCACCGTTGTTTCAAGTGCAGGTCCTGCTGTTGTTTCAAGTACAAGTTCTGCTCTTCTCTCAATTTCAGGGACAACAATGCCATTTGTCCCAATTTCAGATCCAAATGTCATATTTGGAGGCATGAGAGTCTCATCTTCCTCTCTTACATTCTCCCCCCGAAGATGAGGCTGCTTGAAGTAACTCTCTTATTCGTTGAAGGTCACATCTCTCGACACATAGAATTTTTTTGATAGAGGGTGAAAACATTTGTATCCCTTTTGTGTGGTAGAGTACCCTAAAAATACACATTTGACAACCCTAGGGTCTAATTTTCTCCTTTCATTACTATGAACATGCACAAAGGATACACACCCAAATATTCTAGGTTGGAGTTTATTTGTAGGATCCAAGTGTGGGTAGAATGAGGATAGGACTTCCATGGGGCTTTTAGTGTCTAAGGTTTTAGTGGGTAACCTATTGATTAGATAGGTGGCAATAAGAAGGGCTTCCCCCCAAAATCTCTTAGGGACATGGTTTTGAAAAAGTAGAGCTCTAGTTTGATTTAATAGGTGCCCATTTTTCCTTTCTGCAATCCCATTCTGTTGGGGTGTGTTCACACATGAGGACTCATGGATTATCCTTTCCTTTTGGCAAAAAGAGTTTAGTACAAGGTTAAAATAGTCCTTGGCATTATCAGACCTAATTCTTTTGATACCGACCCCAAATTGATTTTTAATCATTGAGACAAATTGAAAAAACACAGAGCTAACTTCAGATTTTTGTTTTAATAGAAAAATCCAAGTCACCCGGGTACAATCATCTATGAAGGTTAAAAACCATTTAGCACCTGAGATATTAGGAACGTAAGCAGGACCCCATACATCAGTGTGAACAAGAAAAAAAGGGAAATGACTCATCTTATTGTTAATGGGAAAAGGTACACGCTTGTGTTTAGCAAGCTCACACACATCACAATGGAGACTTTCCACATTTAAATTTTTAAACAAGAAAGGGAAAAACACTTTTACAACTCGAAATGAAGGGTGTCCTAGCCGGCAATGGTATAGTTGCACTTTCTCTTTGTTGGTCATGATGGATTCAGATATGAGAGAGCAGCTCCTGGTAGGCAGATTAGGATCCTCCATGTAGTATAGGCCATTCCATTCTCTAGCATGTCCAATCGTCCTCCCCGAGTTCTTGTCCTACAGTATACAAGAGTTGTTATGAAAAACAACATTACATGAGAGATCTTTTGTGAGTTTTTGTATAGAAATCAGATTGGTGGACAATTTAGGGACATGAAGGACATTTTTTAATGTTATGGATGGGTTTATTTGGACCTCTCCTTGTCCTGCTGCAGTCATAAGGGTTCCATCTGCTGTGGAAATTTTCTTGTTGCTATGACATGGGGAATATGTGGAGAAATATTTGGGTAGAGGGGTCATATGGTCAGTGGCTCCAGAGTCTAATATCCAGTAATGTGTAAATGGTGTATCTGAAACATTAAGCCCAAAAGAAAGTGGAAACTTACCAGAATATGTTAAGGAGCATGTACCTGTGGGCTTCTCCAATTTACTAAGGAATGATCTTACCCGTTCTATCTCTTCATGATTCAGCTGGTCAGATCCTTCACTTTGTCCATGACTGATGTGTGCTTGCCCTTGTCCTCCCTTTTTTGGAGGGCCTCCTTTCGGCCCCCATTCTCGACTTGGGGGCTTCCCATGTAATTTCCAGCACTTCTCCCTTGTGTGGCGCGGCTTGTTACAGTGGGTACACCAGATATCCTCATGTTTTTTCTCCATATTGGGAACCCCGCTTCTCCGTTGGTTAGCAACCATGATTGTTCCACCTTCAGCTATCATTGCAGAACTTTCAGTTATTGAGGTCTCCAGCATCAGTCCTCTCCTGCTTTCTTCACTCCAAATAATGACTACCACTTCATTAAGCCCTGGGACTTTCTCTTTTCCCAGGATTTGGATACGGACCTGGTCATATTCAGGATTTAAACCTACCAAAAAATCATAGACTTTATCTTGTTCAATATACTCCTTAAGGATTGCTGAGTCTTCCGAACATTTTGCTTTTATAACTCGATAGTGGTCCAATTCCATCCATAGAGACTTGAGTTGATTAGCATATTCTGTAACAGATCTGTTTCCCTGTTTGGCAGCCACGGTTTTCACCTTTACATCATAAATTTGAGTAGCATCCTTGGCCTTAGAATAAGTTTGTTCTACTGCCTCCCAAATTTCCTTTGCTGATTTAAGGAACATGCTGGTATCACTAATTTCTGGGACCATTGGATTCCACAGCCACGCCATGATCATGGAGTCTTTTTCATCCCATGATTTGAACTTGGGATCTGTTTCAGCAGGTGGACTATCAGTCAGGTGACTGACCTCTCCTTTTCCTTTCAAGATGGTCTTAATGAGTTGAGACCATTTGAGATAATTCTTCCCATTTAACCGATAAGCAGAATGAACATTCTGCAACTCTCCAGCAGTTTGGGGTCTGCCCCCAATTTCCAGAATAGGATCCACGATCTCAGTCATGACCAGCTGCGATCAAGGTAGAGAGGGTTGCGCCGCAATGAAAGTTGCGACAAGGTTTAAAGGTAGCGCAGCAATGAAGGCTGCAACTTAGGGTTTATAGGCACGGTCAGAGACTCCCAAGGATCGGGAGCTCTGATACCATATTAAATTTAGAAGAAATAATATTCTTATTATATTTCTTATGGACAGCTATTTTAGGAAATATGGACAACTAGTTCTAAGGAAACAAATCCTTGTGATTATGGGATTGATCCTAAATAAATAAACCTAATAATTAGCAAGATACAACTGTTACATTACAGAATTACTACAACTATAATCCTTCCTAAAATACACAAAACCAATCGCTGTTTTGACACTAGATGAAGATTCAATTTCTATTTTCATTCTATAACAGAATTCTGTTATTTGCAAGTTAGTTACAAAGAGTGTTGACACCTTGTTACTCTAGAGTAACAAGGTGACTTGCTATGTAGCAGGTGACCTACACTTCCAGGACTGACAGATGTAGTTACAACTACTCTAATAAGCTGCATTCTATATTTACTCTAATAAAGCTCACATAGTGCGAGTTCTGTACAAGTGATCAACGCTCCGGCTAGTGTTAGGCATTTAGCCCCACATGTTGTTGATAGTGATTTCACAGTTGACACTGTAACATAATTTTAATGCTGTCTCAAAAGCTTCTTGGCTATCGAGCATGTTGGAGAGGGCCGGTGAGAGCACTCTCATTTGACTCTACTTGTGAAATATTCTTCTTGCTTCAGAGTGTATCGGTATGTATCAGGTATGATTCAGTAGAGATTTTAGAATTCTGAATGAGGTGACAGAATTGGTGGAAATTCTTGTTGAATCAATATCTCGCTTTTTTCCTCCTGAACATGGTGGAAATTCACGTCTTTTTTCTGTTTTTTTTTATTAGTAGAATATCCAAATTGTTAATTAACCCATTTGCCTATTGACCCAGGGGTTCTCATTTTTTCGGATGGAAGTTGTTATTAGGATAAAAAATAAATGGGAGTTCAACTAGTTAGTGAGTTACAAAGACATCACCGTGTCTAAATAGAGAAATAAGGAGTTATTAAGAATCATTATGTTCATTTGATAGTCTTTCTTTAAATCTATCAATTTTTTGTGGATATTTTGATTTTGTTTAATCAATCTGAAGTAAATGGAATTTGCAGAAAATGGCCATACGATTGATTTTTGGAAAGAGACACGAGGTGCTTGACTTTCAGGCAGATGATAGGAGAAAGAAAATTAGCAAGTTTAAGGAATCAGCGTGGAAATGCGTTTATTTTCTATCGGCAGAAATTTTTGCTTTGTCTGTAACATATGATGAACCTTGGTTTACTGATACAAAATATTTTTGGATCGGGCCAGGGAATCAGATATGGCCAGATCAAAAGATTAAGTAAGATTATAATTCTTGTTTTGTTTCTCAGTTTCAATGTTAATTTATTCTTGTTATCATGAACTTTAGTCGGTCAATTGAATGGAAACCATTTACAAATTTCAGATTGAAATTGAAGGGGCTGTATATGTATGGTGCTGGATTTTATTCATACTCCATACTTGCTTTAGTATTCTGGGAAACAAGGCGCTCTGACTTTGGGATTTCCATGACACATCATGTTGCTTCTCTCACTCTTATTGTCCTATCCTACATTTTTAGGTACTGTCTTGTATTTGTTTAATTTGTTTGAATGTAATTCATTTTGAACTCATTATCTATCAAAAGAGTGAAGTCTGTCAAAATGTAAAACGTTAAGGAAATTGTTACCGTGTCTACAGAAATTGCTTTTATGAACACATTTTGCACTGTTTTTTTTAGCTGATTAGTTCAATACACTCAGGTTTGTTCGAGTTGGATCGGTTGTTTTAGCCCTTCATGATGCTACTGATGTGTTTTTGGAGATAGGGAAAATGTCAAAATACAGCAGCGCTGAAACAATGGCTAGTTTTGCTTTTGTTCTTTTTGTTTGGTCTTTCACCATACTACGTGTCATTTACTTCCCATTCTGGGTTCTTCGAAGTACAAGGTTTGTGTTAAATCTGTTCACAGTATACGTTTTCTTTTCTTTCTTAACCTGTTAAAATTTACCACTTTTGCGTATAATTTCATTCCTCAGTTTAATTGTTTTCTTCTTTCTTGTAGCTATGAAGTTGTTAACACCTTGAAATTGAAAGAGAATTGGGTGGATGGTTCAATATATTATTATGTATTCAATACTCTTCTACTCTGCTTGCTTATTCTTAACATTTATTGGTGGGTGCTAATGCTTCGGATGCTTGCTGGTCAAATTCGAGCAAGAGGAAAAGTTAGTGAAGATATTCGATCTGGTAAGTTGAAATACTTATTACATATATGGTTTTCTAATTCGACTTAAAATGATACCAATTGCAATAATCGATCCCTCTTGGTGTGGAACACCAATCTACACAGCCATATTTTTAGGAATGTCTTTGGTCCGTAGAAAATTTAACTGGTGGTTCGATTGTAAACTGCTGCCTTTCACATTTGATTTAATATGCAGATTCTGAGGATGAAAATGAACATGAAGATTGAGCATGAAAACAAGATTGACAATTGTCACACTTTTTCTGAAATGGTAACAAATTTTTACTCGCGCCTAGGTATGTGATGTATTGTTGCATTTTATGTGATGACAATGTAAAATTCATCAAAACTAGTGTATATAAACTAGAAACTCTTTGTACAGATTATTTCAGCTAGCATTACATCATAAACTAGAAACTTTTCATAGAATATTGTAAAAATGTTCCATCCAGATCAAAACTCGAGCCTCTCTTTTTATCAAAATCAATCAATGTCAATAATTTATTGAGCTAGCATTACATCATATTGTTGGCTCACTGCAATTTAATGCAAATGATATAATTTGAATTTCTTATTAGTCCTTTGAGATAAAAATTGGCAGAGAGGATAGTGTGGAGGTGGATAGAAAAATGAGTTGCAACTAATAACTAACTAACAAGGTGGTACAAACCCATGAAATTCAACTAGGTTTGTGCCAATACTGCCATCACAGATATGCATCATGACCCTAGCAAAATGGCTCATATGACCAAATCTGAATTTCATTATTACAAAAACAACCAAGCTTTATCCTATTAGTTGAAGTCAACTATATGCACCATGGGAGATTTATTCACTTGGAGGAAGAGTGCTCGGTAAGGTGTCCATATTCGCAAAGCTAGATAGATACCTGATGTGGATTCGAGGCTCATTTTTCCTCACTCTCTATCTGAGTTATAGCTACTCATGATTCAAATAAAAAATTCTATTTTGTTTAGTTATATAAAATCTAATAGTAAACGGTCTAATCCTTTTAATTTTTAGGAAGCTCGGCTTCAACATCTCGTTTCCGAACCTTTTAGTTCATGCGTCCTATATATTTCTAATGCACCATGTGGATTTTCACACATTCTCCCTGATTCTGAAAATACATCTTCAGACGCACTTATTTCTAAATAAACGTTGACATATTTCGGAGATACATCTTCGAAATCATTTTAAACATTCAGAATAAGCACCTATAAATCATTTACATTTGAATTGCTTCGGAGATGCATCTACAGTAATTTTTTGGAGTTACATCTCCGAAGTGTATCAGAACAGGTTGTTTTTTGCTTTAAGATATGTGTTTGTTTTCAGATGAAGTATAAAGTACGAACTTGAATAAAAAAATAGATGTACAAAATAATAAGAGACTAATATAGGGTGTGTTGAAAATAATATAACAATATAATAAGAAAATATCGTACAATCGAGATCCAAAATGTAGTAACTGTCATACCTCAAAAAATACGATCATTCGTGATGGTCGTGGAAAAATAGTTCGAACAGAGTCGCCACCAAATTTTATTTATCCCAATGAAAAAAATAAGAAAATATCGATAAAACCTTTAAAATAGGATAATGGTCGTTGTAACACCCCCTTTCTATACCCCCAAATTAATACATTTAATCAATTAGGCACTTAGAAAATTTATTTCATCAGAGTTTAATTAAAACATGGTATATAAGAGGCGCATCACATTATCATGAAACTAAACACATATGATACCTGCTCAAAATAGATATGCAACAATGGGTAACCCACATCTCAATATTTAGAATAAAAGCGGAAACATCCAAATATTGAATCGATCACATTCATAAAAGTATATACAACCATCAGTTAATTCATGCTTTACAACATATCCACAACAGATACATACACATATGTATCACAAAAGAATCAAACCAAAATAGCTTCAAAAGAGCCTAAAGCTTCCCAACTACCCATATGTTACATATCAGAGCCATTGACCAAAAAGAATGAAGACATCGCTTCACAAAAAGAACCTCCAGCTTCCTACTCTGCAATGCCTCATAGAGCATTATAAAACAGCAGAAGGGTGAGAAACAATATCATAACAGTTAATGCATAAAATTGTATATATACATATACTCACATTTGTACAAGTTATACTCAAATTATGTTCTCACCACGTTAAACATATACAAATAATCATGCCTCTACACATGCTTATGAACATTCACAATATGTTCCTCCAAACAATCATATATAACATACACAGTTATATTCATTCAACCAATGCATCATACACAGATGACTCATGCAACTCATAGAGACCGACACACAACTCTATGCAGATGCAAATGCGGTACCGACTCATTCAACAGTTTCTCTAAGGAATCGAGTATTCAGCAGATCCTCCACGGGATCAAGTACTCAGCAGATTCTCCACGGAATCAAATATTCATCAGATTCTCCACGGAATCGAATATTCAGCAGATCCTCCACGGGATCAAGTACTCAGCAGATTCTCCACGGAATCAAATACTCTAGCCAATCCTCCACGAGATTACATGTTATGACCGATTCTCCGAGGAATCACACAATGCAACCGATTCTCCAAGGAATCTAATATAACCATCGTATCATACGAGGTTCTGCAAATCCTCCGAGGGATCATTCAACACAAAAATGCATACTATGCTCACAAACATACTCATTGCATTTATCACAGACATCGCATATATCTATCATGCATTCACATTATGCACCATTTCACACATGGTTTACACACATATCAGCCTATCAATGCGTTTCTATTCAATTCGAGCAAATACACAAGATTATCAAATATTCAAGATTCACCATTTACTCTATAATCTAGGATTCACGCCTTTCGGCCACCCACAGCACGACATGTCAAAACAATTCACACATCAATCATTCATATAGGCATTAATCATAATTGAATCAACCAAACATCATGCTATGAACAAAACAGCAAAACAAATAACACTGCCAGGTTCGCTAACCTTCGCCTGGCGAAGCCACGCAGCGAATGCTCGCTGGCCTTCGCCTGGCGAACTTCCCAGCGAAGTCCACTGGGAGTAATTCTGGAATTACTCGCTGAGGCTCGCTACCCACTCGCCTGGCGAACCTTCGCCAACTCACCTCGTCTGGCAAACTTGCCAGCGAATACAGGGTGTTAGCTTCTGACTTGCTTCGCTACAGCTCGCTGGGCTTCGCCTGGCGAAGCTTCGCTGCCATTCGCCTGGCGAGCCTACGAAGACAGAACTTCCATGGCTGTCTCAAGAGCCCAAACTCCCCAAAATCAACCGATTAAATCCAAACCAGTCTCAGTAGCGCAACCCAACCATCACCCGACTAAACTACATCGTCTAATCCGAGTTCTAACTGATTAAAACCTCATTCTACTCACAAAACCAACTTCTAACCTAAGTGGAAAAAGAGTAGAAACCCTACACAATCCAAACACATACACATACAATCATACACATTAAAGAGATGATGGAGTTTCACACTCTTACCGATCGATTGCAAGCTTTGGTGATGATCCCTTGATGATTCTAGGTTTTCCTCTCCACTTTCTCTTCTCTTTCTCTTCTCCTCTTTTCTTTCTCTTGTTTTTCTTCTTATGTTACTATCTTTCTTTCTTTTCCTATCTTATTCTATTTCTATCTCTATTTCTTTCCTCTCAAGTTCTTTCCAACACTTACCAATCAATTCTCACACTAAAGTGCTAAAATGTCTAAAATGCCCTTTTTATTCTAATTCCCCGAAAACTCTCCGAATCGGTAAAAATAGATAAAATAAGCAAACACCACATAGCAATATATAATTTCTCAATTTAAAACAAACATCAAATAAATAAATTAAAAGACTCAACAATTAATGGGAATTCAGAATCGGGGCGTTACAACTCTCCCCCACTTTAGAAATTTTCGTCCTCGAAAATATCACCTGATTCAAACAACTCTGGATGCGATTCTCGCATCTTGCTCTCCAATTCCCAAGTCATGTTGCCTTCCGCGGCACCTCCCCAGGACACTTTCACGAGCGCAATATCCTTGCCTCTTAGTTTCTTAACTTCACGGTCCAAAATACTAACCGGTAAAACTTCAACTGTAAGGTTATCTCTTACTTCCACTTCATCCATTGGAATAACATGTGACGGATCCGGAACATACTTCCGAAGTTGCGAGACATGGAATACATCATGCAAATTCGAAAGATTCGGAGGCAACGCCACACGATAAGCCACAACACCAACTCGTGCGACAACCTGATACAGACCAATAAAACGAGAAGTCAACTTTCTCGACTTCAAAGCACGACCCACACCCGCAACCGGTGTAACTCTCAAAAACACATGGTCGCCCTCTAGAAACTCGAGATCCTTTCTCCTTCTATCATGATAACTTTTCTGTCTACTCTGAGAAGCTCTCATCTTTTCCCGAATAAATTTCACCTTTTCCGTCGTTTGCTGTACCATTTCCGGACCAACTACCGACTTTTCACCTGTCTCATGCCAACACAGAGGTGTTCGACATCTCCGACCATATAAAGCCTCAAATGGCGCCATACCAATACTCGAATGGAAACTGTTATTATAGGTGAACTCAATCAACGTTAAATAACCGTCCCACGCACCACCTTGCTCAAGTACACAAGCGCGCAACAAGTCTTCTAACGATTGAATCGTCCTCTCGGTTTGACCATCTATTTGCGGATGATATGCCGAACTCAATCTCAACTTAGAACCCAAGGCACCTTGCAAACTCTCCCAAAATCTTGAAGTAAATCTAGGATCTCTATCCGACACAATACTCTTAGGAACTCCATGAAGCTTCACAATAGTGCCAACATAAATCTCGGCCAACCTTTCCAAAGAATAAGTAATATCAATCGGAATAAAGTGAGCCGATTTAGTAAGCCTATCAACAATCACCCAAATAGCATTATGTCCTCTTTGCGTATTCGGCAATCCCGTAACAAAATCCATCGATATACTATCCCATTTCCATTCCGGAATATCCAACGGTTGCATCAATCTACTAGGCTTCTGATGCTCCACCTTAGACTTCTGGCAAGTCAAACACGAGTACACAAAACGAGCAACATCGTTTTTCAATCCAGACCACCAAAAGATCTTCTTCAAATCCTGATACATCTTATTCGCTCCCGGATGAATACTTAAGTTACTCCGATGTCCCTCTTCCAA